TGTGACTATCAGATTTGTATGCTTCCATGTTCATTAGGCCATATTTTCAACGCTAGAAGGTTTCTAGTTTCAAAGATGAGTAGAATAAAAAAAAAACATTTCTTACCTTTCCGGTGCTTTTACCCGAATGCAGATACTCAACAGCGTCTGCAACAGAGTTTACACCTATAAACTTCTTCTGATCAATCCCAACCTACCAAAATGTAAAACAAGATTAAAAGTTGGTGTTTGGAATCAATTTTGGCAAATAGGTAAATAAGTAAACAAAAACAAAACGTGGGGTTCAAGGTAACACACTTAAGCTTATCATATTATATTATACCTTAAGCTTCCCGAGAGAGTAGAGATGGAACAACTTGTCAAGGTTTTGTTTCCACAGTTGGCTATATTGCACTAGAAAGAACCCCGCCTGAAACGAATTTGGTGTTTGTTTAGTTAAAACAGAATCAATTCAAAGTGTAACCAAATATGAGTTTCTTAAATCGTAGGGAACTAAAGTCGTTTTAAACATACCACAGTTTGGCTTTTTGCTAGGATTTTCTCGCAGAGCCCTGGGTAGTTTGCAGGCTGCCATCCTTTCTCCCCTTGATACTGAAAAGACGAAACAAAAGTTTATGTCCAGAGCACAACTTTTGTATAGACATAACTGAAACAAACAAAAGATGTATATATATATATATAGAGAGAGAGAGAGAGAGAGTGATATGATATAAGGGAACCTGAGAGATCATTCCAATCACGATGAGTCGTCCGTAAACAGCAAGAGCATTCAAACACAGATCAAACATTTGACCACCCACAGATTCATAGATGATATCCACACCTTTTGGAAACTCCTTCTTCAAGACCTGTGAAAGTTTAGACCACCATGAATAATTTGCCACATATATACCAATAATCTCTTTCTATTTGAGAACCTACCGTCTTGATATCCTCGGCTTTATAATCTATGACTCGGTCGACCCCAAGCTCTTTTAATAGCTTGGCCTTCTCTGATCCTCCGCAAGTAGCAATCACCTTGTTTCCTGCTAACTTTGCAAGCTGCATATATATACAGAATCTCCTCAAAATGTATTTTTTCGGCAGCTTGCATAAATACTACTTTAAATAGCCACAGGACAAAACTAACAGAGATTCATACAGCTAACTTCAGTTTTTTTTTAATATATACCTGGACTGCGAATTGTCCAGTGCCTCCTGCAGCAGCAGTCACAAGTACTGTTTCGCCTGATTTCATTTGTCCTGCCTGTGAATCCCATAATATAATGGAAATTTCAGACAACATATAACTTATCCAGACAGTAGAAGAAGAGGGGGATGAATAATATAAGATCTGAAATAGAAAACAGAACCTTTTCAAGGGCGGTTAAAGCAGTTAAACCCGAGGTAAGCATGGCAACAACTTCTGGGTCTGGTCTTGGAACAGGAAGCACATGCTTAGCAGAAACCTAAATCCACAAAAAGACAGGATCCCATTATCACTGAAGCCTCGAAACCTATCAACATGTTGCTCTCATATATGGTTAAGGAAGCTCTCATACGATCGTGTATTCAGCATATGCTCCAAACGTCATAATAGCAGCTGGAGTCCCAACTTGCAGATTCTTAACAGATTCTCCCACTGCTGCAATTAGTCCAACTCCCTGGAAATTTTGAAAGAATTTATAGTAAACACCATATAAAGCATGGTGCTGTAAAAGTTGAAGTGAGCATTATTACATACCTCAAATCCAGCATCAAAGGGAAGCTTCGGGGAGCCACCGCTAAAGTAACGACCTGAGCTGAAGTTTACCTGCTCGTGGTTAGATAAGAGTGATATAACTCTCGTGTTATGAGTACTGTGACATGCTACACAATATAAAATTCTGGATAGTGTAGAATATAAAGATCTTACATCACTTGCGTTAACACCAGCATAGATGATTTTCAGTACAACTTGGTGTGGTCCAATAGGTAACTGTAGTGATGCCCGGACTTTCCGTGTAGCATTGCGGAAATTATGAGACAAGGCGTGTACAATTCTGAAGGAGAGAATGAGACATCAGTATGAAAATAAAATAAAATATACAACATTCATTGTGGTCTCAAGTAGTCACATATTATTAACTTACATCTTCTCGAAGCTTTGAGGAAGCTCAATATTTGAAGTTACTTTATAGGAAGTCTTTTTGCTGGCACTTGAACCCACCAAGTACTTTGCCTGTTCCATTGGAGTCGGCCAATACTCCAAACCTCTACGAGTGGTGATCCATAGGCATGCACCGGCTTTACTCTCATCCGTTATAAGCTCAAAAGCACCTAAGGCAATATATATGACAAAAACCCATGAATTATCGTTACAGGTATCATTCCTATATTTGGTATAATCGGATATGTGTACACACCTTTAATCAATAAGTCCATAGACATGTAACCGCCTATTGCCTGAAGGAAGGAAGCATCAAGACGTTCTGCTAAGTCCGTCTTTATAAACTGCACAAACCGAAGCTTTAGGCTTCACTCAGCTAAATAGTATTTTGGGAGACATTAGAGATACTTCTTACTTCAGGGCAAAGAACATTGATACGGATCCCTTGACGCTTGAGATATGATAATGATCTAGTGAATAAGACGACGCCGGCTGTAAAAATGTAACATATTGAGATAATAACCAAAAAAATTATGCAATGAACAAATGAAAAAAATAATAACACAAAAGTAAAACACAGAAACCTTTAGAGCCAGAGTAGACAGGATCATAGGCCATTGGATAAAGACCAGCAGCTGAGCCCATGTTTATGATAACTCCAGGCTTTTGTTTGGCTTTCATAGCTTTGATCTACAAAAAAAAAAAAAAAAATATGGTAAGATATCTCCAGAGAAAGAAAGTACTTTTGTGTGAGAGAAGACTTACTGCAAGTTGTGTGCATTCAACTACTGCAGTGAGATCCACATCAATGGTGTGTTTCCATGATTTAGATCCATCAGTGTCATCTTTATCAAACCTCACAGGATTGCTAATCCCAGCATTGTTAATGCAGATGTCAAGTGTTCCAAATGAGGCCAGGTGCTTCTCGAAAGCAGCGACGAGATCTCCTGCTCTCATGTTCTAGAGAGTTAATACAAAGGCTTAAAGATGTAATAGCTTTGATCATCGAGGTAAGGTTACGACAGGCTTCATACCTCTATTAGTGACATCACATTTGACAAAGATAGCAGAAGGAGAGCTTAGTCCGGGATGGAATTTAGCATTGGCCTTTTGAACAAGCGAAGTAGTCTCTTTCCCTTTCTCCTCGGAAAAATCAACCACAGTAACAAAAACTCCTTTCTCTGCAAGAGCCAAGCAGAGAGCTCGACCTACACAAATTTGAACATCTCATCACCATTGTGTTACTCAGTTTTGTCAAATGACATCGACGATTTTTCAAGTTTCCAAGAAACAGAACTAAACTATTGATATAGAAACGCAATAGTAATGATGTGCTCTGTGTCTTTCTTACATCATGGTAAGAAAAAGAAAAAGCTTTCAACACATGTATCATCATAATGTTTGATCTTGATAAAAATAAGAACAAAAAAATCCAATTTAAATTATCCGATCGGGAAAATAAAAACATACACACGTCACCAACAACGGATTCACACGTAAATCCTAAGCCGAACAAATCGAGCGCCAACAATAAAAATTTACTCGTATTCTGTTCAACAGACATAAGAATTACCCAGAAGAGTTCGTAAGAAAACAAGAAATCACGAATCACCAAGAAACAGGGAAAAGAGGAAAAAAAACGAAATCGAAAAAATGAAATCTAACCGATTCCGGAGGCGCCGCCAGTGACGAAAGCAGACAAACCAGGCTTGATCTCCATTGATTAGTTAAGGTATATTCCGAGAAGTTGGAGCAGAGGTAGAAGAAGATGATTGATCGATCGATTAAGATTGAATGAAATGTTGAGCCTCGAAACTCGAAATCCTAAGAAGAGTGACCCCACTTTATTAAATAGTCTTACTAGATAACACCATGCGTGTGTTCTATTGTGACACGTCTGCAATCATACGCCAGTTGGGTCGGAAACCCGGTTTGTCCTTAACCTAAACCGTTAAATCCAGTGTCAACGGAACAAGAAATAACGCCGTCAGATAAAAAAAAAAAAGAAAGGAAATCAATTCTTATTTCAGGAAAAATATCTAATTTTAGAGAAAAAAAAAAAGAAATCTTTGGATACCTTTAAAAATTTGTAAAACGTTTCCAAACAATATTTGCTAGTTAATTAGGAATTGAGATGGTTACAGAAGCATAGGATCACGCAATTTTACTTACGTAGAAATTATGCATCTTTTCTAATTCTACTTTGGTTAACATGAAAAAGAACGTGAGAAAAACAAAAAGAAATTGGAAAAGAACTTCTGTTTAATTTTCCAACGGTTAAGACTTAGATTTATATATTCATATAAGTCTAAATACAAAGCCAGACAAGTAAGCGCCTGTAGCTCAGTGGATAGAGCGTCTGTTTCCTAAGCAGAAGGCCGTAGGTTCGACCCCTACCTGGCGCGCGATATCATTTTTCTTTTTGTATTTTCAATCTTGCATTTAAACAAAAATAAAGTCTCAAAGAAACAAATCGCTTCATTGTTAATGTTCGGATCAATACATTAAATCTTGCCATGTTGATTATTAAGCAACTCTCAAGAAAGAAATTGGTGCGTGGTTTACTGATTTTGATCAAGATTTATGGGATATTAAGATAATCAATCAGAAAGGTTGGATTGTGATTAATATTAGTCTTTCAAGTCTCCAGTCATTCACCAAAAAAAAAAGAATCTTTTTGATCAATCAAATCCCACTTTATCATTTTGATTAACTCACTACCAAGTTGGTTGGTTAATGGTTTGATATATAAATTTGGCATACGCTCCAGATTTATGGGATGTTTGCAATCAACCAATTTTGTTTATGGTCAGTGGATAGAGAGCCATAATAACTTTTGATTAATCTTGTTTGTAATATCACTCAATACGAACATGGATACACATTATAGCCAATTGGCCCATGTTTCCGTTTTAACCATACATATAGCCAAGCTTCTTTAAGGATTTAACAGTGTCAACTAAATTAGTTATAATTTATAAACCATATAAAAGGGTTGAATTTTTCATTTACAAAAAGGAAAACAAAACTTTCCTGCACTATTTTCTTATCCAAAATTGCAACAAAACAATAATAACTGTTTTCTCTTTACTCATCAATGATAAAATTGTCACTCGAGATATGTGGACACCACCATTTTTCACCACAGCCTCTAGTAAAACCCTAATCATCATCCTCCGAATCTGCCATTGATGTAATAAAATAAAAAAAAATCACTCGAAACTTCAAAGACACGACAACATAAGCCAAGTGACGATAGAGTAAAAAAAAAAGAACAGTGGTCTAGAGATTCGTACTCCTGATGATTAAAATGCTTATGTAACAGATTCTAGCAATCATTGGTCTCCTATAAGCGAATCTTTTCAATCTTAAAAACGAATACTGATAAAAGTGGTACCTGATCTTATGTCTTCTCCCACTTTTCCTCTGTTTTGAAGCTGTCTCATGATCATCGCATAAATGAGATACCACCAATAAATATGGAAAACTAATAGCATTAGTAGCATTGTATTGAAGCCATAGTACATCAATGTGCCTTTTACCGATGTCATATCCAAATATGCCAGTAGTTCCGAGCTGAAAAACGACATTATCCCATATATACACAAAATCAAATAAAAGAGTAAGAGATTTTATCATTTAGGAGTTAAAAATTAAACTGTGTGTGTACCACGTAGCCCTGATGATCCAAAACGGGAAGTATACCAACCGTAGCAAGAACCAAGATATAGCAAATAATCCAAAACACACACTTGCTCCAAGTTCCTTTCCCGAATACTTGAAAATTTTGGCAGATTCCATAAACACGTCACTCGCGTCATGGATGGCAAGGATGATTGATCCAATTCTAAAAAAACTGCTCATGAATAATAAAAATCAGTTAGCTCGATCTAGATAGCCCTTTTGATCTATATCAACAAGGTTTTTAAACTTCACATTCAAAAGTTGAAGGCAAGAAGAAAGCAAGTGCTGACATATTTCAGAGTAAGGAAGCCCTCATTAAAACTACAGAAACACACGCTCGAGTTCGTTTCATTTCATTTTCACAGAAATTTCTCTGTTACCTAAAGCAAAACCACTAGAGATCATGCATGATCATAAATGAATATAGACAAATCCAAAATCTGATTACCCCACTAAGAAGGAGGAGCCAATAAGGATGATGGTGATTATGTGATGAGACATCATAACAGCAAAGTCCTTTCTTCTGGTCTCCCACGCAACCAAAGCAGCAACACTATAAACATAGAACCCGCACTGGCACATATAGTAAAGCTTTAGAGAAGACCTACAAGAGAAAATCAGTAACTTGCAAAGATTAAGCATGATCTAGTTTGAAATCATTCACTCTATTGGTTATCAATCCCATGAAATCAATATACTGAAAGAACAATAGATGAAAAATTGATGGCTCACTTGAGCTCTTGATTTGGCCATCCGTCAAAGTAGAGCTTTATATCTCCAAACCACGGCTCTTGATACACTAATCTGAGAACGAATATTTCACAACCAGCATAGTACAGCAATTTCCACAAGGACTCTTTGCATTTGATGATTTTCACACGAGTCGCGTCGTTCAGTTTTAATGGCGAAGAACCAGTACTCAAAAGCCACACAGCTATTCTCTGAAAGATCCAAGACAATAATCAGATATCATAAGTTCTTGCAAATCTAGGCGATAACATTGATGCATTGGCTCCTCCTAAAGAAACTATATGCTTTTCAACGATACATGAACATCGATCTAAAAATACGGAAATATACAGATAAAACGCTGAAAATGAATGAATTCATAGTTCCCGACTTCCCGCAATCAATCAATTCGAAGAAGAAGATGTTTCTTACATGAAAGACGAATCTATCGAGGAAAAGCCTCGAAAGGAAGAATCCGAAGGCAAAACAGACAACGGTCTGGAAATGCGAAACAGCAAACGAGGCTTTATCATTCCCGACGATATCTCCGCCGCGTGACGATGCGGATTCCATGTCCCGGCGACACGAACGCTGCCGGAGAAACCTCTATTTTGACTAAAAAATCATCCAACAGAAACCGAAGAAGTTGAATTGTTGGTTTTCCAGGTGAAGACACTACGCCGGGGACGGAAGAGAAATCGGAGCGTTGAGAGAAGAAGAGAAATCGATCAGAAAATTGAGCTATAAAGACGGAGAAGAAAATGCAAAGAGAGAATGGCAGAGATTCGAAATGCCGTCATTAATAATGCTGTTGGGGATCTCGCCAACCTTTTATTTTTAATAACTATTTTCATCAATTAAATTTAAAATGATACAAGAAAGAAAAATTGGGAAAAAAAAAAAAAAAAATCATGGTCCAATTGAAGTCGGCTTATTGGGCCATATTGGGCTCGGAGGGCACCGGCCCGTAATCCTTCCACCGTCGAAAGCGGGAGGTGGACGCTGCTCTGTGAATCCAGCCTCACGCAGTCTCCTCCACTCTAAGAGAGTCCGAACCACAAGCTTTCGCTCGAATCCGAAGACTCAACTCCCGACTTGGAATGGGCAGGCCAGTAAATAGCCCTTCCGAATCCGGCCTAAACAGATCGGCCCAAAGTTCCATCACCTTATTGTCTCCACTCGGATCACAAGCCCACGTTACTAAGCTCGACGTGCATTTCCTGTGAACTAAACTTATATATACAACACTAAAAAACTTGTTTCTTCCGATGTGGGATATTTTGCAACTATGAACACTGTTTCAGTTTCACCCTCTGAATCGAGCTTTTACTTTCTTCATTCTTAGCTTTCCTTCAATCGCTCCGTTTCTTTTTTCTGTATCGTTTCTTCGTTCATTCCAGATTCAGAAGAATCTACTCAATCTTTGAAACACTCAAGAGAGAGAGAGCTTCTTTTGAAGAAAGTACACGAAATCAATAAATATAAGAGATGCAAAACACGACGACTCGAACCTGTAGACACGAGCGCTGCATCACATTGTCTTTGAAGCACAAACTCAAGCAGAGGAACCAAAAAGAGCCAAGAAACAACAACCTTATGGGAAAAAAGGGACAGGATATGAAGCTTTATTCTACCCTGACTAGGTTTTTGTGAGTTCTCTTCCCTATTTTTCTTTTGATATAGCCTCTTTGTAACCATTGTTGTTAGGAACAAACACACAAAAAAAAAAACAAAACTTGTGGTTCTGAAATAGTGAAAACGATCTAGTGTATGAAATAATGAAATTACCATATCTCCAATAGCAGTTGTCATAAGAGCAGGGATGTTTCTGAAAGACAGTCCATGTACATCACCAACCTCTGACTGTTCAATCAACTGAAATCACATGTGCAACATTGTCTTAGATCATTGAATCAGTTTACAGTTCTTATTCATGGATATCAATCTTGGTAAAAATGAAACTTTTTTTACCAAACCTAACGAGTGGTTAATTACCTTGAATCTATCAGCATATTGCTCACGAGCAAGATCGTTAAGGAACCAAGAAGCACTACCATTGTTCTCAACCTCTCAGATCACAAATTCACAACGCCCACGTTACTGAGCTCGGCGTAACGTTACGTGTGAACTAAACTTTTATATATGAGATGGCATTTTCTTGCAAAATTTTGTTGGTAATTTTCATTACTGCTTTTTTCTCAAATTTGCTAGTCTTTGAAACTATTTTTTTATACGTGTTCCTTGCTAATTGGATCTATTTATCAGCAAATTTATTTATTACTTAGACAAACCTCCTAGAAAAATATGTCAGTCTTGTTCGTATTATCTACAAAGAGTAAGTTTGAAGATAATCGTTGATATTGCATTCCAAAACAAATGACATCGAACAGAGAAAGGTTTATTTAGTAGAACAGCAAGAATTAGAAAATTATAGAGAGAAAACAATGAACCTTAACAATATACAGATTTAAGCCATAGAATAACATTTCTTACGCCAAAAGCTGACATAAACGAAAATAAGAAAAGCTATGTACTGATGTACAACTACTGATTTTTCCAAATTTCTTGTGTTGCTTCACTCTCTGATGTTTATGTTTTCTTTTGCAGATCATATGTCGGATCTGAGCCATTATTGTTGGTATATCCATCACCTGAATAAAGAGCCAACAAAATCAACAAACAAGATAAGATAATAAGAGATGAAGAAACCAGGATTTGTAGTTTGTAGGAAAAAGGGGTTTCTTTAATAGCTAATTTACCAAAATCAAGATTTATCCAAGACTCAGATTTAGCAGGCTGTTCAGGGAGAAGCAATGTTGCAAACTGATGTTCTTGAGGATAATACAGTTCTTGTTCGTCCCTTAGAAGATGCTGTGGTAGTTGCTCTTTCTGAGATTTTACTTGCAATCTATGTTGTTGCTCATTGAAATCTCTAGCAAATTGCTCAAAACTCAGGCCTTCAAAATCAGATGTATAAGGTTCTGATTGTGGAGGTGCGGCAATTAATGACGGATCGATGAGAGGATAGATTAAGTTCTCCATATAAGCAAAATCATTAGATGCAATCCATTGATCATGAATTAGATCTTGATGATAATGATGATGAAGTTGATCATCAGGTTTAGGCAACTGTGCTACTACAAAGACACACACACACAAAACTATCTTTCATAAACCGATTAAAGTACTAATCTTAACGATAAACAGATCTATAGTTACTTACCTGGTGCAGTAGTATCTCTAAGCTCAATTTCTCTAAATTTATTCATCAGGTATACTTGCTGAGCAAGCAAACCGTTAAATTGAGTTATTTGACGAGCCACTTCGCATCGTTTGTAGTATTCTTTGAAGAAATCTGGATTGCCTCTTTGAAGACGTTCCCAAACTGATAACAAAAGCAAATACATATATAGGAGAAAAAAAAGAAGTAGCTACTTTAGTTTTTTTTTTCTCTCTCTCTCTCAGTCTGAAATCAAATTTGAGTTTTTTTACTTACTTGTTCTAGTGTTATTATGAGTAATCTGGTGGTTTTCATGCAGATAGGTCATGGTTTGTTCCAAGTTCATGTACTTTTTGATACATATTTCGATTTTTTCCTGGACTTGAAACAGAGGATTTAAAATAAAATAAAATAAAAGAATTATAAATATCAAGTCACGAAATTTTAAGGATTTGGATAGAGAGAGAGAGAGAGAATCAAATGATACAAAATCTATGAACTTCGAGGCACAGTGGAATCCATTCATAACTTGAAAATCCAACAAGAGAGGTTTCTTCTGACGAAAAGAAAGCTTCGATGTGGTGATTAGTGGTTTAAAAAATAAGTCGGAGATTGCGCGAAACAATTTAATTGATTCGTTGTTTTTTTTTTAAAGATTTCCAAATATTTCATTTTTTGTAAACCGATATTTTATAGTTATAACATATATTACTACCTCTATTAGTCGAACAATTCTGTGTGAATTTTTAAATATTCAAAATATAACGTCACGGATTTTTTTGTTGGTCATATCTTTTAAAAATGTTTTCTCTTCATTCTCTTTTTATTTTAACAACAAATTTTACATGATTCTCTTGACTGATATTGTTGCGTAAATTTTAAAATGGTCATAAATATTTAGAATAAACATCATCTATTTCGGGGTATTGCTAATAATATTTGAAAAAACAAACAAATCACATATAAATACTTTACATCCAAATAAATCATATATCTTTGGCATACTCTCCCATGATATTATAAATACTAGAAATAGGACCCTCGTTTCGCGGGGTTAATCTGCCATATATTAAGCATGTTTCATTTTAATTAACAAATTTTTGAAATTAAGTTTGAGATAAAAACTGATAAAGTAATAATAAACTTCATTTATTTTAGTTTAATAATTTTATTTGCTTAATATGCATATAAAAAAAGAAATAATGAAAATGATCATATTTTTGTTTATAGATAAAGTTAAAAGAACATAAATAGTAAAAAAATGAATTTTTTTATAAAATAAACGGTTATGCCAAAAAAATTGTCAAATAAATACTGAAAAATATGAAATTTATTTATAGTTGTGAAAATATTATAATAAAAACACAACGATAATTGATATTTATTCAATTTTAAAATACAATTTTTTAAATAAAATTAGTAGTTATAAACAAAAGCATAATGAAAATACAAATATTAATAACGTTTATGAAAAAAAAATATATAATTAAAATACAAAACTTGGTTGTTGTTGTGAGATACCCCACAATCAGTATCTGATTTTATAGTAATTCTTAATAGCATTGTTGAAAAACGACTATATGTAAAAATTTATACTATTTTTTATTTATTTCTAGTAAACCATTTAAATAAGACACTTTTATGATAGACAATTATAACAAAAAAGTAAAAATCATTATCAAATATTTTTTTTTATATGGTTTGAATAATATAAATAATTTTAAAAGACAAATTATCTGTAAGAAAAAATACAACATTTCATAATGAAAAGAACGCAACCATTTGTATTAAAAAGGTGCAACCACAAGTTTTGAAACCACACAACTTATCGTAATGAAAATAGTCTATCAAAACATAACCCGTGAATTATTAGATTCTATTTTATAGAAAAGAATGCTGACATAAATTTTTTTTCAATATTTCACAGTTTATTGTAAGAATAATTTCACTATAGTAAGAAGGTAAAAAGTTATACACAAATGATTTAATTTCTGTAGTTTTGCATCCAGATACTTATTTGGATGTAAATGTTTAAATATTTTTTTTAGATATCCGAATACAAAATCTATAATATCTCAAAATTAAATTTTTTTTTGTCGACCAAAATTTAAATATTTAAAATGCTAAAAAATAGAATTTGGATGCAGCATTTGAATCTTAAAAATTAAAAGACCAAAATACATTTTTAATTTAAACTCTAAAATCAAGTTTTTTCATTGTCAAAACCATAAATCAGAGTTTTCGATCAAAATAAGAAGCTGCATTTTCCCGCAAAATACTAAAATCACATTGTTGTACCAAAATCGGGAATTCCCATAGAAACTGTAAAAATAACATTTTCCATCAAACAGTATTTTACTGCCAAAACTGTAAACCCACACTTTTTAACAAAATCAAAAATTACTAAAATCATGTTGTTTTACCAAAATCAGAAATTCCCATAGAAACTGTAAAAATAGCATTTTTCATCAAACCGTATTTTCTTTCAAAAATTGTAAACCCATATTTTTTAACAAAACCAAAATTATGTTTTCTCCAATACCATAAAACCGTATTCCATGGCCAAATTTTTAAAATTACGTGTTTTTGTCAAACCTGCAAAATTACGTTTCTCATCAAACCCGCAAATCTGCATTTTCAATAAAATCCATAAAACCACATTTTGCATCAAAACCTATAAACCCCGCCAAAACATATAAACCTCGTAAAATCCGCAAAATCACGTTTCTGGCCAAATCCACAAACCCATATAAAATTTGTAAAATCTTTAAATTCATGTTTTACGACCAAATTTCTAAACTCATGTGTTTCTGCCGAACCTGCAAAATCAAGTTTCCAAACCCCACTGACCCCCATTTTCCCGTATGACTATATTTTCCCGCTAAAATCCACAAAATTACGTTATTCACATTTCGTAAACCCGTGTTTTCCCGTAAACCTCATAAAATCTGCAAAACCAAATTTCTAAAATCATGTGTTTCTGCTAAATCTACAAAACACATTTCTTGATGAACCGGCATTTTCTCGTAAAAGTATATTTTTCGTTAAAACTTATAAAACCCGCTAAAACTTGTAAAACCCGTAAAATCTACAAATTTTTGTTTGTCAAATCTGCAAAACCATAATTTTCGAAAAAAAATCATTAACAAACCATGAAAAAATTATTTACATAATATTTTTTCATAGTATGTATATATGTAACCAAAAAATAATGATTACATATTTATCATTGACTATAGATTGTCACATTTAATAAATATCATACTAGCTTTTAAACATTTTAAAATAGTACTTTTTTAATTATATAGAGAAGAAATTGATTATATATAATATATTTTATTTATAATATAATATATATAATTATATCAATTGTTCATGTTATATATATTTGTGGTAATTATGTTAAGATATTATGAAATAATTTGAAATAATTTCGAAATTATATTAATTTGACTTTTATTAAATATCAGATATAATTTATTGGTATTATCTGTTAATAAACTAATATAATTTATTCTAATTTAATGCATTTTTAGTGGTTCAATGGTATGACTAAATTATCCTTACTAAATTTATGAAATTGTCTTGTAAATGTAATGGTATATATTGTAAATACCATGGTAGCTTTTGAACATTTATTAAGAATGATTCTTTATTAATAGTTTAGATATTTCTATTAAGTTGTTTACTGGTTATATAAAATCATATGAAAAAATATATTTGTTTAGATTGGTTTTAATGGGCTAATTGTTTCTTCTCAAAAAATCTTTTCAGTATTAATATAAAAATTAGAAGTGAATATAAAACTAAACCTTTAATTATAGACAGGATTTTGGCCCGCACGCATGTGTAGGCATAAACAGTTTTAAAATTTTAATTACATAAATATAATATCTAAATCGTTATAAATATTTTAATATTTTTGTAATATATAAAAAATTAGGTAGAGCGATTAAATTATAGATCCTAATAGCAAAATATGGTATAATTCTAACTAAACATTTTAATATAACAAAAAAAATCCATTTTATTATGTTAAGGGGCCAAATGGGTCAGACCCGTAGATAGCTGATTGAGCGGATTACCTGCTGTGGATTTGCGGGTCAGACATACATACCTGCAAATTTCATCATCTTTTTCGTCTTCAATTAATCTTCCTCAATTTATCCAGTTATTTAGCCTCTAAATTCTCAAAGACTTCTTTCTATAAAACAAATATTTGAACTAAAATAAATTAAACACAGAAAAATATTTGAACATATATATATTCCAACTTTTCTTTGTATATTTGTTTAGCTTATGTTTCGTGTGGATAACAAATGGGCTCTTTAGTTAAATATTGTTAGATTAATGTTAATTTAAATTAAATAGTCGGTGCATGTGATGAAAACAATTTTCATATTTTTTATACAATTTGATGATATAATTAATGTCGCTTTGGATTATATTGCGGAAAGACAATCTCAAGAAGACCGTTAAAAAGTTGATAATCATACTTCAGTTAACAAAACGTGGTATACTATAACTTCTCTTTGTATATTTGTTTATCTTCTCTTTTGTGTGGACAACAAAAATGGGTTCTTTAGTTAAATATTGTTAGATTAATGTTATTTTAGATTATATAGTCGGTGTATGTGATGAAGATATAATTTTTATACAATTTAACGTGTACAAATTTGTGCATGTAATAAAAAAATATAACATATATTTTGTGCATGTGATTAAAAAAGACAATTTACAATTTATATTAATAATTAATATTTTATATTTTTCAGTTTTCATAAAATAATTATTTGAACTAAATAAAATTAAACACATAAATTTTTTTGCCATGTCATAATCCACATGTGTTAGCAAATGCCATGTCACAATTACATCATCATTACACATCATCATTTCCATGTCACATTTAATTAGGTTAGATTGGTGTTTTTAACCAATGAAATTAAAACAAAACAACATATATCATTAAACTACATTGTCCATTAATAGGTAGAGGATTTATATGAAATCTCGAGAAAAAACAACAGTTCCATGGGCTTGGATTTTTATTACTGACATAAAAGCATCTAACTCTATTTCTTTGGATATATATAGTTTGTCCCTTTTTTGTACATGAACTTTTTGTGGTGATTTTACAAAATTTTGGTAATTCTTCGGCTTCCAAAATATTTTTTCTTGTACAAATTTGTGGGTTAATGAATCATTAGGTAATCGGCCTGCACAGTGTGCAGGCTACAACATATTTAATATGTTTAATTATTATTAGTATAATATTATAAATGATTAATTTGTATATAATTAATTATATATTAAAAATAAAAATGATTAATTAAATATAAAATATTATATATTCCAAAAGTTAATGAAGATAAA